CGAGTCAGAACTGCAAGCACTGGTAGGTTTTTTTTTTTTGAGAGTGCAGAGGTTTTGTTTATGGTCACGAATTATAGCTCTCTTCTTGATTTTATCTTCAGATGGCTCGCACGGATATTCGTAAACAGTTTCATGAGATTGTTGACATACTCAAACGGCTTGCAGAAGAAATTCGTCTCAAGTAGGTCACGGTCTTCTGCCAGTCCACAATTATTAAGATTTCGCCACCAAATCATTTACAGGTCTGTCAGCAATGATCTGGCTTCAGATACATTGTTGAGGTGGCATAAAACAACAGTGCGAACTGTAGAATTCTTAGCGTTAATCGGAGCTGCGATGCCTGTGGACTCTGTCTTCCATGCTTTGCATGTAAGGTTGAGATACCAGCGAGAAAACGTTCGATATCCAGCGGAGGAGATTGATTAAGGAGTGAGTTGGTCTTTTTTAGAGCTAGGTTTGCTTTATGCTGGGACATAAGATTGACTTTCATACTAGAAAATCTGATTTTGTATTATTGTAACAAAATCTGGGTCAGCCGATGGGGAGTGATATGTTGCAATTTCTAGTGATAGTATTTTTTTGTATGTTTTCAAATTTTGCGTTTCTTGCTAATTCATTTCTATGATTTAGCGAATTTGGCTTCTCTACAACAACTCTTGTTGGTTTGGGTCCCTGTGAACGGGAGCCATTAGTGCACTTCCGGAGAAGAAATTGTAGACACTCCGAGTGACCTTATCAGTCATCTTTGGAATTTTTTAATCGATTCTGTTTGCTTTTATTCTTAGTCATTCAGCTACTTCATTTCTGCTCAAACTGTAACTGCCTGTACCTCTTTTTTCATAAACTAAGTGTATGTGTGTCTAAGTGTTTTATCTACTTTCCCTAATAAGGTGCTCCGTTCAGCCTTGTATATCGCGAATATCTGAGGTGCATCGTGTGTTTCCTGCCTTACTCTTATCTGAACTCGGGTATATCTACGGTCTCAAATATCTCATCCTAATACAGTTTTCGTGATGTTTCATTGCATTTTATTTTGCTGAATCGGAAGGTTTTCTTGTTTCTACGATGTTAAATTTCAAACATTCTTGCATGAATATATATGCTTTAATGTGCACTTTTT